TACTGGACATGCACTGAATGGTCCCATTTTCCATTCGTAGACAGATGACAATGGGATGTGCCTTATCCATAAGGCGTGTGTTTCTGGAGCTGTAGAGATATTACTAGGTGAGGGGTTGATTGTCTCTATGTACACATTTGACCGTTGTTAACATAGTATAGTACTTGTACGTGTGAATATACTATAGTTATTTTTCAGATAACACTATTGTAAGCATAGTAAAGTACTCATATGGATACAGCTATATGGTTATGTACATGCCTACACACATCTTGATATAGACAAATGATTACCTGGCCAATGTCTACCTATTATAGCCCTACAGTCAATGGTCTGCAGTTGAATGTGTTTCAATGTAGATCCTGTGTACCTTTAGTAACCGTTTTAAGGGCCCCATATTGTCTACAGCTCTACGCACACCACACTCTCTCTGTGCGTGATGGCTGCATGGCTGGTTAGTTCGATAGTCCATCGTCTCTTGCAAGTATATCTACGTTCGCTTCGTGCCTGAAATTGAATGGTATGATTTCGATGAGACATGTGTACCACTGTATACACACACTCTCCTTGATATTAGTCCACTACTGTTATTCTATGACTTTGTTCAGGCAGGCGATATACTCTAATGAGTGGGTGTGCCGCGAGCCTGCATGCACACAGATCTTTATTGGTCCACTTTTCAATGGTCCACTATTGTATTTGTCTGGTTTCTCGTTGAGCACTGTGGCAGGCAGGTGAACCCACAAACACAGGGCTCAGTGTCTGCACACATCTGTATTGGTGTACAGGCCCTCATTTAGTTTAGGAGCTGACAGAGTGATGTCTTCATTGTCAAGACTTCTCTTTACTTGTCCATCATTGCATTTCTCCTAGCTTTGCTTCAGGCAGGCGATGACCCTAATCGGCTGTCGGTCCCGTTGCACTACACACCACTTCACTTCTCAGTCAATGGGAATGCATCATGTCTACGGCTACTTCTGCAATGGGGTATGTGTTGTATATAACATTATATATATATATACATATATATGTTTATGTCCATATATATATAAATATATGTACATATATAAATATATATATATATATATATTGTATATATATACATGTATATATG